CTCTGCCTCCCTGATCCCCCTCAGCCTACTCACCGCAGGGCGATGGGGGATCAGAGCCACTCATGCTCAGGGCGGATGGGGGATCAGAGCCAGGAGGTCCGAACATGGACGGTAGCAAGGCTGGGACCAAACGGGCAAGGCAGAGGTCCAGAAGCTCGCACAGGTTGTCGCTGGTACAAATCCAGGAGGAAGTAGGAGTGGTTTTATAGTCCTCGTGCCAGGGGCTTGGGGTTCCCATAGCTTCCTCCTGGTCACTGAACTCCCCACCTTGGTGCTCGTGGGTGGGCTGGGGCTGATGCCTGACCACCTGCCTCATGGTAGTCTGGACTTTCCTCCACCTGCTTTCTTGGCTGTGCTGGGTTCAAATCCTGTGGGCTCAGCTGGGAATCTGCTTTGGTTTCTGTTGGGGAGCTGGGAATTGCTAATGGACATCATCTTGCTTTGCTCTGATGATGCAGCCCTGGCACCCCGGAGCGCTGCCATTGCTTGAGGTCCCTACGTGCTACAGCTGCACAAAAAAGTACCGTATTTATTTGCATACCACGTGCCCCGAAAGGAGACCCACAGCTTGTCTGGGGAAGGCAGAAAGTTATCCAAGCTGTTCAAAATGAATCTCCTTGTTTAAGAGACCCCTCCTCACCTCCAGTTTTCACTCACTGATTTGTGGGGAAAAGGGGAACGTGGTAGGCAGATAAATAAGGTAATCAGAGAGGAGCCTCTTGGGAACATGGATGAGGAGGCATATTTGTGAGGGGGAGAAACAGCTGTGGTATCTGGGAACTTGGGATGCATTAACCCCATCGTGCCTGTGCCCCCCACTCATATCCTGATGGCTGCTGACTGACAGCAGCCCCCGCGCTGGTTCACTTCCCGGTGCCATCCCTTAAAACTGGTCCCCAAACTGCTTCTTTCTATCTGGGGGGCAGGGACAGGGTGGTTACCTGGTGCAACCACCGGGGGCACCGTGCTGTACCACCCCAGCCGACACCTGTTTCCTCCCCCTGGGCAGGTCTAAGGAATGCCCCACGCTGCTGGGACGTGATCCAACCCCTGCTCTGCGCCGTCTACATGCCCAAGTGTGAGGATGGCAAGGTGGAGCTGCCCAGCCAGACCCTGTGCCAGGCCACCCGCGGGCCCTGCACCATTGTGGAGCGGGAGCGGGGCTGGCCCGACTTCCTCAAGTGCGGTCTGGACCGGTTCCCAGAAGGCTGCCCGGTAAGGAGATGCCGACCCCTGGGCACATGCCAACGCACCTGCCCAGTGCTGACCGTCCCACCCTGCCCTGATGCGTCCACCAGGCCATGGGGGCAGCAGAGCCGGGCTGGCAAGGTCTCAAGAGGCCACGTCTAATCCAGCTCCTTGCTCCCATCTGAACCATCCTAGAGAAAGGCATGTCCAGGGGTGGAGTGCAGTCGCATCCCCCTTTGATTTCTGCTCCCCCAAACTTTAAAACCAGCTGCCTGGGAGGGGTAGAGGGGTAGAAGCATTTCTATTCAGGCAGCGGGGAAGGAGCCATTAACTTCGGTTCACTGTCATCTCCCTAATTCCTGCTAATCTCTTGCCACTCTATAGGTGTTAACAACCCTCTCTGCTTTTTAACTGTCTTGATGTTTCACTAATCAAACTATCCTTTCTTCTGTAATGCTGCTGTCTGTTAGCCCTTCCTAGTAATGTCTCTCTTCTATTTCACAGTCCTGCAGGCTGTTTCTAGCCCTAATTAAAAACCTTAACTCAGGCGTGGTCATATGAGCTCATGGGTAAAAATGACTGACAGTGAAGCATTGGAGGTACGGTCAAGATGCCCAAGAAGGCTAGATTTTGTTTTATGAAACTGAACAAGAGATGTTCATTTAACTATGATGACTACAGGACTAATGGCACACAATATCTTCTGACTGTTTTTCACTGTATGTGTTGTTTTTTTTAAAACGTTATATATAGTCTTGCAAATGAGTGCATGTTCCAATAGTTATATTTGGTTTTGCTTTGACCCTAAACTAAATAATATAGAGCTGTTCCCCTTGCATATTAGTAAAGCTTCTAGTTTCTCTTTAACTGGAGAAAAATAGGTGCCATGTTACATGTGATGAAGTGCCACACCATCTGCACCCCCCTTTCCAAAATCCTACATCTGCCCCTGGGTGTATCTCACCTGCTTTTAAAAGTGATGGGGAGTCCAGAGTCCCCTGGAGAACCTGCTCCAGCACTGAGCTGCCCTCAGAGGGGCAAAAATCTCCCTGATATCCAATCTCAACCTCTCTCGTTACAAGTTGAGCCCATGGCTCCTTGTCCTGTCCTCTGTGGCCACAAGAGCAGACCATCGCTGTCTTCTGTACAACCATCCTTTATGTCTTTTGAAGATGGTCCAGTCCCTCCCCGGTCATCTCCAGCCTTGCTAACCCTTTGCCCCCACCTCTGTCTCCGTCTGCCCCCCAGAATGAGGTGCAGAACATCAAGTTCAACAGCTCGGGGCAGTGCGAGGTGCCGCTGGTGCGGACGGACAACCCCAAGAGCTGGTATGAGGATGTGGAGGGCTGCGGCATCCAGTGCCAGAACCCGCTCTTCACTGAGAGGGAGCACCACGAGATGCACGTCTACATCGCCGCCTTCAGCTCTGTCACTATCTTCTGTACCTTCTTCACCCTGGTGAGTACCAGGGCTGGGGTATGGTTACTGCAGGGCTGGGAGAGGATGTCCAGGGTTGTTGGTCTTGGGAGGGGACTAGATGGGGTGATGCGTTGGCTTAGAGTATGCCCTGGTGGCTGGTTAGAGCTGGTGCTGCCTCTACTCCCGAGCACAGGGCAATTGTCTTATTTTATCACCTACAACATGCACGTCCCACCCAAAAACCAGCTGCTGGACATTTTTGTGCACATTATGTGCAGGGCATATATTTCTGCCATTTCAGGGAGCAGAAGCAGGCTCTGCTTCCTCACTGCTGCTACTGAGTTACTTACTACAAGGGAAGATCTTTGTTCCTCCATTCTGTCTTTTGAAAACGTGTGGATTATATTCTGGGGCGTGTTGTATGTGAGGAATACGGTATATTGCCCCAGCCCTTCTGCTGACCCCTCTCCCGCTTTTGCCTCCCCTTCCCCTACTCCCCGCCAGGCCACATTTGTCGCTGACTGGAAGAACTCAAACCGCTACCCAGCTGTCATCCTCTTCTACGTCAATGCCTGCTTCTTCGTGGGCAGCATCGGCTGGCTGGCCCAGTTCATGGACGGGGCCCGTGGTGAGATTGTGTGCCGGGCCGATGGGACCATGAGGCTGGGTGAGCCCACGTAAGTACCCCTGCCCCTGATCCTCCTTCATTCTCCATGGTGCTACCCTCGGGGGGGTGCTGTGCACACCCATCCCATGGGCATGTTCCAGGCAGCGTCAAGGCAGGGGGAGACCGGTGGCACTGGGGATCTGGGCACAGCCCCCAGTGAGACCAGATCATGGCTCTAGGGTGTTCTAGGTTGCTCTGTCACCTCAGTCCAGTAGGGAATACTCTGGCTGCTGCCATATGCTGGGCTGGATACCATACTTCATTGAATACAACGCTCCCCTTTCCCCCAAAAAACAGCTGCGGAAATTGGTGTGTGTATTATATGTGAGAAATATGGTAAGAGCAGGTTCTACCGCTTACCTGGTGAAATGGGGCATAAAATCTGCAGCCATCCCCAGGGAGCAAAACAATGAACAGGCTCAGCTCCCTCTCTGCAGCTACTCATTTACTTCCTGCAAGGAAAAATCTTTCTTTCCTTCCTTCTGCCTTTCAAAAGCAAGATGTGTATTATATTCTGGGGTGCGTGATATACAAGAAAAGATGGTATAGCTGCAAGGAACCAATCTCAGTGCAGTGGGGCATGGAGATGGACCCCCGCAGTCCTTTCTTTATAGGGCTCATTGACATCTCCCCCTCCCCTCCAGGTCTAACGAGACGCTGTCCTGCGTGATCATCTTTGTCATCGTCTACTACTCACTGATGTCGGGCGTGATCTGGTTCGTCATGCTGACCTATGCCTGGCATACCTCCTTCAAGGCCCTGGGCACCACCTACCAGCCACTGGTGGGCAAGACCTCCTACTTCCACCTGGTCACCTGGTCCATCCCCTTCGTCCTCACTGTCGCCATCCTAGCTGTGGCACAGGTACGGGACAGCTGACCCACCCCCCTGTTGACCTCTCTGCCCTGCCTGGGTAGCAGGGACCTTTCCCAGGCTTCCTCAGTGCCTCTAGCAGCTCTTGGCAGGGTGCTGTGCAGCCTCTTCAGCTGCTGGATGCCTACATGCTCTCGTTTTGCAACCTGTGCCATTCCTGGTAAACAAAGGAGACCAAGTGGGAGGACGAGCTGTGTGCAAACCTGCCTGTTGCTGCAGCTACTTCCTTTTGAAAGCCCCTCCTGCCACGACGGCAGACGTCCATGTGCTCACTGTGTAAGCAGGACCAGGGGTGACTCTGGAAATCATGGCAGGTTTGCTACAAAACTAGCGGTGTCTGGTCTCGCTTCTCCCCTATGCACTGACTCGGTTGCCGCCCTCTCGTAGGTGGGCTTAGTGTTTTCTGGCTCCTCGTGCCCCCCCCCCCATTTCATGCCTTTCCTGCACCAGTGCATCTCCAGGGAGACACCCCAGGGCCCTTCCCACCCCCTCCCAGTGCCAGGGGCATCTGCCAAACTCTGGCATCTCATAGGGTGGATCCTTTGCCCCATGGCCCTGCACAAGGTCCCTGTGTGCTGACAGCCCGGCCTGTGCTCTGGAGACCTCCAGCTCAGCAGGAAAGAGTCTTGCGGGAGCTTCTTCTCTCCCCTGGGGCAGGAGAAGGACTGAGCCCAATGACTCTGCTCCCTACCAGGTGGACGGCGACTCTGTCAGTGGCATCTGCTTTGTGGGATACAAGAACTATCGCTACCGGGCTGGCTTCGTGCTGGCCCCCATCGGCCTGGTGCTGATCGTGGGGGGCTATTTCCTCATCAGAGGTGGGTGCGTGGCAACGTGGGGGGGCGAGGGGAGTTGAACATGGACCCTACAATGCCAAATCAGGGGGCTCTTAAGGCCTGAGCTCCAGGAAGAGATCCCTGAGCGGGCAGCTGTAGTAGGTTGTTATCCTAGTGTATGAATGAGCCACTAGAGAGAGACAAAAGGGAGCAGCCAGGACCATCCACAGCGGTGTCGGGTCTGGTGTGGGAGCATCCCAAGGGAGGGCCAGTAGGGGGGCCTGTCCCCATTGCCTTACAATAGCAGAGGTGTCCCAGAGCCTCGCCCCGGGGCTCAGCCAGTAAGGGCCAGTTCAGGCACAGCAGGTTCTCTACTCTGATTGGCCAAGCCCACGGGTGCTGGAGATGGGCTGCTGTGTGCGAGTGGGTGAGACCTGCTTGCCGTTCCCTGCTCCACAGCCCCGGGGCTTGAGCCTCTGCTGGCCCCATGCCCCTGCCCAGCCTGACCTCGACCCTATCTCTCACTCCAGGTGTCATGACTCTGTTCTCCATCAAAAGCAACCACCCCGGGCTGCTGAGTGAGAAGGCGGCCAGCAAGATCAACGAGACCATGCTGCGGCTGGGTGAGCGGCAGACCGAGGGTGGCTGCCCTGGGCGGGGGTCTTCCAGAGCCCCCAGCAGAGTGGGCACAGGTTGGGGTAGGAGATGCCTGGGGAGCCCAGCCTGGCAGAGCCCTGAGCTTCAAAAGACCCCAGCAAGGGGGTGTTAGCTCAGGGCTTCGTCCCAGTGCAGGTGGGAGGTGGTATCTCTTTCATGGTGCCAGGGCTGCCCTGCTCCACCCTAGAGGTGGCTGCACTCAGCCGCAGCCAGTGATCCCTGGGCACGGGTTACCCAAGTGCTGAAAGGTGCAGCAACAACCAATGCAATGCTCAAATGAAATATCCTGGGGAGAAACATGTGCCCTTGTTTTCCCCCCACACCCCCCTCGCTGTCTGGTCTCAGCTTAAGTGACCCGCCTGCCCTCCCACCACAGGCATCTTCGGCTTCCTGGCCTTTGGCTTCGTCTTCATCACCTTCGGCTGCCACTTCTACGACTTCTTCAACCA